ACTTTGGTGATATATCCCCTAGTTGTAGGTGAGGGGATTCATCCGCATCTCCTAGTTGGGGCTTGCTGCACCCGGCCCTTGGTCTCGCCAGAGCCAGCACACTTACCTAACAAACTGAAACTGTTTACCTTAAGATGGATGGAATGTGACGCCGTTACCTCTAGCTACCTTACCTCTAGCGGAGTTCAAATGATGAATCAGGGGTGAAGAAGGTTCAGCAGACACACAGGCGATCGGGAAGGGGACGGGGAAGTGATTTTGAATAGACTTTAGCTTCATCCTACTTGAGAGGTCCAGTGTCTTCAGCTTGAGCCCGCCGTCCAATTTTGCCATCATACACGAATATGTCTGTCAGTTGTAATGTGCATAGACACATTAATGAATTTAGAAGAGCGACAGAGCGAAAATCACCCCAACCCACGGGCTCTAAAAGACGAAACAGCAAATGAAGTGGTAATAAAACAACTTCCAAATTTCATATCTATGAATGCAAAATATTCGGAAACGAACGCGAAATGAAAAGTAAATTGGAAGTGGTCAAATCATTACAAAATTTTGAAACCTGCAAGAGCATCGTTTCAGAATAGAAGATGGGCCACAATTCAGCAAAGGAAAATGCATTCGGCTTTGATCAACCCTTCTTCGGATGCGCCATGCATTTTACTCCGTCAGAAAGCGATGTGAGCAACTTGGCGATGGGTACCCCTCAGGAGGCCCATCGCGCGGCAAGAAGCCGAGTTAGCGGACGAGTTCGCGCGCGTTCAGGGAATCGCGTCAAAATAGTTAACAATTAGAATATGTTAAGTAAAGAATATAGAGGTGCGTTCGTTTCGCCTCGTTACTTCAGACGAACCATTACTTATGTTAAATAGAATGGTCATCGCAGTCTTCATCGCACATCACAGCGCCACGACTCGATCCGTACTCGGCCTTCTCTTGCCGGCGATGGCTCTGGGGGCGTACCGAATGATTGCAATGGTTACAGAAACTATCATGCACCAGTTCAGCCTTTTTTCGCCAGACAAACGGTACCATTTACCGATCCCAAAGGTGAAGTCTTGGTTAGTCCAGACACCCTGCTATTTTGCTAGTCAATTTCTGGATCTTTTAGGTCGCGCAATTCCGACTAGACTTACTTTCGTCTAGAACTTGAGTAAGGATGAAGTGATCGATCACTAATTAGTATGGTCTCTAATTCCTGCACATTTATGCCGCCAGCTGCTCTGTGTAAGTGTGCCAGCAGCACATCGTGGTGTACTGAATGAGCACCTATGTATACAGGGGAGGCAGAAGAAAGTCTCTCTGCCTTCAGCTCACATCAGCAAACCTTTCGTCGCACTTGATTCAGCCGTTGATAGAAATTTTATGGCAAAATATCCTTAGGTGTCCTCCATAAGCAGGAGCAGACCTGGAATGTAGTCTTCTTATTTATTATGGGAGGTTATTGCGCTTCAGCAAAGTGTAATTGATTTCGTTTTTGAAATGGAGGGAGGGGATGACTCTTTTCTTTGTCCTCGAGCGCACATCACTAATGTTAACAGGGTGATATGCTTGCCCTCTTGTTGGATTGGTGCCAGGAGGAGTTAGTTTCCTTATTTTGCTACGGTTTCCTTTCCTTCAGTTTCATCACAAATACCAAAACGCGCCTATGTGAAATACGTTCAATGTCTGGTGCCTCTATTTTTTCTGATCATTGGTAGCTAGGAGAATGTGAGTGCTCGGATTGGTTCTGCCGGAGCGTAATGAAAAACATAGGATACGGGAAGAAGTTGCAAAGGGGGTGACTATTTTCTGATAAAGGCTGAGAGTATGAGAGGCGAGAGCGCACTTTGCGCGTGACTGGACAGTCCATTTAATTGGTGAATGTTATTCCTGATCTTGTAGAATCATACTATCGCTCTTGCTTTGGATTTAGAGGCGGAACCCGGCGGAGCGTTCAGGTCCGGCGAAAGATTATATTTGGCAACAAGGCTGTTACGAGCCGCTTTCGATCACAAGCTGAGGGAAATCACGGTTTGTTTCGTCGAGCATTCGGTTTCATCGCTGAAACACTTTTCAACTATTAGCTCTACATAAGTGGAGTAAGGTGAGGTGAAGTATGAGGAGAAGTGGAATTTTTTTCGAAAAATATTTGAAAGGGTCAGGAATTTTTCTGTTGTCTGGGTGTTAACGAAATGTTCCTTAGTAGATATAATGACTAGAACGATTTTGGCGCGAAGGGATCTGTGTAGCACGTGCTAGCATAGAAAGGTAGTTGCACTGTAAAACAGTCTAAGGTAGGCAAATAGTGCTGGGAGGGCTCTAACGACTTCAGACGATAACGCAAATAATAACGCATGCGACTGCTCTCCAAGTAATAGTGGGAAAGCTGCACGACCGCAAAGGCGGACCATAAAGCGAAAACCTTTCATCACGATGGACTATGATGAGGTTGATGTCAATGTTTTGTAGGCCCAGATAAGTGGACACGGCTTATATGAATAAGTAACTCTGTGACTCCGTTAAAACTGGTTCAGTGCCCAAGAGAAGGATCAAAGCATATGAGATACTCTACACAATGATCGTTCATATTGAAGCTTATGGTTAGGTCACAGAGTTCTGAATTACTCATAATACATAACTAAGAAGAAGAAAATCGTAATAACTTCGTATAGCGCATAAACTATATTTTTCAGCAAGCGTTACCTTGCAAGCGCTTACTAGCCCAGTCAATCGCCATAAGAAAGCCTAAAATGGATTCAATCGCAAGGCAAGCGGACTGGCGGGCCAGTACAAAGAGAGATGCAAGGTGGTCATCCGGTAGAAGTACTTCAGTGAAGTCAGCGCCAGAGGATATCAGACAGAAGATGCTTCGGACAGGACCAATTGGCGATGGAGCGTTCAGCGGGCAAGTGGCTCGATGTAGGAATTGACAATTAGAGGACGGATGATTAGTGCATGTGTCAACGCGGGAATGCGCCGCACATCCGCTTCCCACTCAGAATTGTTAGGGCACTTTTAGGGCATTGGATATTCGCACTGCACATGGCTACCTGATAGATTGAAGGCATAGTCGAAATATACGATTCGCATACACATTGTTCTGTGGCAAACCTTATCATGGCTAACAACCCTTAGGTCACTTCCAGCAGTCAACTTTACAGAAAATTGTTCCCCATGCCTTACGTCATGGTAGCGCAAGGAACTCTTGATTATTTTGAAAAGGATGGAGGCAGGTTCCCACAGGCAAGACGAAAATCGAGTCATAACGTCCAAAACGGCTTCCAGTAAACGGAATGAAAGCTCAAATAAAAATAAAAGCCTTGCATCAGTTCCAAAAACTTCACCCAAGCTTCTATCTATATAGTGGGTAGTAGATCTGTCCGGGGACACTTTGTGGTTTTGTTTTTAATTTTTTTTTTTTTTTTTTTTTTTTTTTTTTTTTTTTTTTTTTTTTTTTTTTTTTTTTTTTTTTTTTTTTTTTTTTTTTTTTTTTTTTTTTTTTTTTTTTTTTTTTTTTTTTTTTTTTTTTTTTTTTTTTTTTTTTTTTTTTTTTTTTTTTTTTTTTTTTTTTTTTTTTTTTTTTTTTTTTTTTTTTTTTTTTTTTTTTTTTTTTTTTTTTTTTTTTTTTTTTTTTTGAGGGGAAGGCCAGGACCAAGAAAAATGTTTCGAGAGTGAGAAGAGCGCAGCGGCAGCTGGAGAACTGAAGTAAAACATTTTGCAAAGCAAGTTCATCCATGCATAGGAATGTTGACAGATGAAAGAGGATAAAAAAGGCACGTCATTCGTCCAAAGACGAAGAAGATCACTAGTCAATAGACCTTCGCAAAAGTTATTGCATGTGTGATACTTGAGGATAATTCCACATCGATGAACACGGTGCACATACTACTGCCAAGTACTAGATGATCAACTCTGCGAAGCACGGAGCAGGCACACGAGCCTTTTATCACCAGGCTATAATATATATATGTAATAATATAAAATTCCATTACAAAAGAACTCTAAAAGTTCACAAAATTCAAAAATTCCAAAAATTCAAAAGTTCCAAAAAGCAAGAAACGACTTGAAAAAGAATCCTTTTAAAAGCTCTGGCGATATTTCGGTGTATAAAACCTGTTCTTCCAGCCTGAATACATTGATTACAGTTGGATAATTGATTTGGTTGGTGGTTTCTACACCATATTGATACCCACATGTGTTGCCACAGCCAAGTGTAAAGCTGCCCTTACGGGAGCCGCGCCGTTGGAGTGAAAGAAATGACTTACCCTCACCCCTTGCTTAAATAGTAGCGGACGTACTGTGACGGTCATTGCATGTGATATGAAAAATTACGTGACATTGGGCACGTAGTTAAGTTAATAACAACAGATAATAAATTCGTATAGCATACACCCAACCAAAAAACACAACCACTACCTGCTCATTCAAAAAAACAGAAATAATAAATTTAAATAGGAAAATTTTTTATGTATATTCTAATTGTTAGTTAATTGTGAATTATGAATGTGTATTTTTATAATGGGGTCTTTACAACAACGTAGTCTAGTTTCCGTTTCGCACGTGCCCTTAGACGGAAACTAGACGGATTGAGTATCCCTCCTCTGTGCTCATCAGTAAGGGAAGGAAGGAGAAACCGTTGTCAAATACATTAATTAATTGAATAACTTATTATATTTAGAAGTACTATTTTTAAAAGGTTCTGTTTATCTTTCTTTATATAAAGTTAAAGGACTTACGTTCAAAAACTTATTATACATGATATCGATATCCATATATAAAGAATATTTATATACTTACATATATATATACATATACATATATATAATCAATGAATAGCAGCTGTGAGGTCAGCTGCTTATAAGCTTATTACCATAAAAATGAAGTGAACTTGTTTTGACTAGTGTTGAAGTTATCTTTATATGTTATCACTCAACCTTTCTTACTTATCAACGTTGAGTTATATTTCATTTTATGATTATTGTGTACAAGGTGGGTCTTTCATTTTCTAAACTCGCACAATGGGGAGTCAAAGACATCACAAACTTTTTCACAATTCACACCTAAACACATTTAAACACACTAATTACTCTAGGCTAGGTTTTAGCCAATTGTTGCACGTTTCTTGTTCAGGAAGGCTGGAGGCTACGATGGATAATGTGATGGACAATGTGTTAGATCAACATAGTGGGAAAAGAGTAAGTAACGTTCAATTTTATTCACTGGTTAGAGTCCACTGTTGAATATTTTTCAGAATTAGATTATATCATTAGACTATTGTTATTAGACTATTCTATCAAGCACTCCACTCTTTAAATCAAACTTATATTTTATAAACTCATTTTTTATTAAGCATTTATTGAGACATATAATAAACATATTGAAATTATAACCAGAATCTTTTAATTGTTCTTTGGTATGTTTTAGTCTTTCTATGAAATCTTTTCTTTTTGTACATGTACGAGCTATTCGTAGGATTTCTGAATATATTGTGTTAACCTTAATTTTTAATGATATGTTAGTGGTTGAGTTGGGAAAGCGTTTTATAGAAAAATTGAAATCATCTGTTTTATTATACATTTTTGTATGTATTTTATTTTCTTCTATTTTAATTTCTAGATCTAAATAATTACATTATATTCGTTAGTGTGTGTAACTTCAATTTCAAAATATTTTTATATATTTCATTAAGTTTGGTAAAATTGTTTGTGTATCAACATTATGTATTATTAGTATGTCATCCATATATCTATAGGGTTTCAGTTGTAAATTGATTGTATTATATTATTTTTTGAGTATAAGTATTCAAAGTAGGATAGGGTAAGATCTGCTAAGTAAGGGCTAACATTACTACCTTGTGGTACTCCTATTTTTTGTATGAATAGGTGTTCTGCAAATTTACAATAGCTGTTTATTTAATAAATAGTCCAGTAGATAGACTACGTCTTCGATAGTATAGTATCGGTAGTTTTTGTATGATAATGTATTAGTGTAAAAGGTTTTAATTCCATTAGTAGCTATATACTTTTTATTACTGTTTTTAAAGCATATTTTGAGTATTCCTTTGATATTATTCATTGTGTTATAATGTGGTAAATTATTGAACATATTATTAAAATCTGCTGAAAAGAGTTTCATGTTTTTTAATTTTATGTTTTGAAGTTGTTCACTAATATTAATGTTATTTATAGACCAGTAACCTATGAAACTATTATTTCTGTTTTTTATAGTATTATTATACATTATAAAGTGGTTTTTCAAAAATGTAAGTATTTTAGTAAGCTCCTTTGACAATGGCTTGAGACTACTATTTTTTGCACCTGTTATAAATCTAAATTTTATGGGAGATTTATGTATTTTGGGAATAGCATATATCAAAGGAATATTTTTATTGGTTAGGTTATCAATATGGATATTTTTGTTCAATTGACAATGTTTTTCGATTATAGATTCTTGATTACTTGTGTTTATATGTAAATAAGAGTTATTTGTTTCTTTGATATCAATTTTGTGATCTTCAGTATATTCAATACCCATTTCTTTCATAATGTTGATTATATAAAACTTTTTACATATGATTCCGTAATTATTACTAGCTTTATCTAATGGACAAAAGATGAAAATTTTCTTAAGTTTATTACATTCATTGATAAAGTTTGGATTGACATTAATGTTATTACAATACTTGTTTAACCAACTATTATAAAGTTTTGGTTTTATTGCTCTATATAAATTTGTTTTAATGTTTATTTTAATGTTTTCCAATATGTTATCTGTGATCTTGTATCTGTGTTTTATTATTTGAATATAATTAGTAACCGTAGATTCTATCCAGTCTTTGATAGAATCTTTATTAACCTTGATCGGTAATCTATATTTACAGCCTTTATCAATTAGATTCCTTATCTGTATATTTTGAATAACTTTGGTATCTCCTGTTACTATGTGTTTATGATACTGGTCTATGTACTTTTTATATATGTTATCTTCACAAATACATTTTGAGTTCAATAAGTTAGTTATTTCATTATCTGTAAGATTTTTAAGTGTTTTATTGTAATTGAATAAAAGTAATGAAGCTGGTTTGTCATATTTATATACAATTCTGAAAGGGATTAATTGTACTGTAGAGTTATTTTTAATAGTTTGTGTAATGTTTTTGGAGTTAAATATTTTATTAATATCAACATAATCTAATATATTATGTATATAACTTGTTGTTATGTTACAATAGTCTTTGTTGATACTCCTATTAGAATTATTTTTGTATTTGTTGAAGTAGAATTTGCATAAAAGGCAAAGTAACAAAAGTTTTTTGTCATAGGGAATTTGTTCTAAAAATGTTTCTGTATAGCATAAATTTATAATTTTAGTAATGGCTTTCTTTGTTAGACTATACAACTCTTTTTTGATAGTCTTGAAATCATTGAAATCATTATTGCTTATTAATTCTAAAAAGTTTTTTATTTTTGCATCGTTATCTTGTTTGTTCTTTTTTTGTTTTTTATTCTTTTTTCCGATTCTTTCCCGTCTTTTACGAATAGTTAGATTAAAATATGGATGTTCCGGTTTATATGTAAGTGGGTTTGTTATATTAGAAATATTACCATAAGATTTAATATTGTCGTTATTTCCAAAAGGGTGAGCTGTTACCAACAGTTTTATCCAAAAGGCTTCCTTATTTTGTAATACAGTAATGTCAGTGTTATCTGGTAGATTATCTAGGATGGAGAATGACACTTGTTTGCTTTTACATTTTGTATTGAAATGGTTATAAACATATTTATTTGAATCATTTTTATGAATATGATATATGTGTTCATTCATTCTATCTTTGAGCATTCTTGTAGTCAAACCAACGTATTGATAGCCACATTCTAAACAATTTAGGCAATAAATTACATTTTTACTACAACAGTTGGCATTCTCACTTATACATGTTTTAATTTTCAAATTAGTTGTATTACAAATAATGTGTTCTTTTTTATCTATCAAATTACATTTAACACAATTAGGTTTACATACGCTAGGTTTGTTTATATTACCAAAATTCATGAGATTATATGTACCGTTTTCCCTACTTTTGTAAAAAACTTGTTGGAGGAAGTAATTACAGTTGCTAGTAGGAGAGGTGGTGGACCATAAGTGGGAGTATGTGAGCGGCCCAGCTCACAAACTCTTGGGGGAAGTTTGAAGGGGATTGCCCTAGGCACTTGCAAGCCCATTTTTAATCTTAGTTACTAAATGACTTTATTAAAGTATTTGTTGACCCTTTTGAGGGCGTGGTACCTACCCCCAATGCTGGTAGCCACTTTTATAACCCTATCAAAAGAGATCCCTATTTTTAAAGAGGTATGGTCCTCGTGTTTAAAGAGTTAGAAAAAGGTTTTATGAAAGTTGAGGAGTATGGAGATTATTTTTGTGTATGTATACATGTTACAAAACAAATTTGTATAAGTGGAAAAAGTTTTTAATGAATGATTGCTTCTACACTTAAAGTAGGGTGGATATAAAATTAATTAGGTATTATTGCAGTTGGAGCAAGATATAAAGCGTATGGAAACATTCCAAGAAAATGTAAATAAGCGAGTGATGCTGAATTGGATAAGGATTACCGGGTTAGAGAATAAACATAAATGGAAGTATGATAGACTGTTGAATCATTTTGCAAGTGTCATTACTGGGTAAGTTTTACATTTTAGAGGATTGCGTATGAAGTTAATTGGATTATTTCAATTTAGTTATCAAATGGAGGGCAGGCCATCCCCTTTCAGTTGGCCTACAGGAGCAGGAACAAAAAATGGAATCCCCGCCATACGAGTCAGTTTTAGTAATTGATCTTTATTTTAATTTAATTTTAATTTTGATTTGATTTAACTTAATCTTGAAACTCAAAGGTTAGTTTTAGGCTAAGGTGTCTTATGAATATTGGAAATACTTCATGACCGAGGGTAGAAGAAAACTTGCAGATTACAATAAAGATAATGGTACTAGAATTACAATCATGAAAGAACATGTCTTGAGAGTGGCTGACGAAAATAATCTAGGGTAAGATTAAAATGATAATTTTCAAAATTGATGCATACATAATTAATGTAATGTGTATATTTTTAGGTTGTTACTGCGTCAAAAGATAACCAAATTATATGAGGCTGCCAAACTAAAAATACCAGTTATGTCTGTAAAAAAAGGAAAAATTTTTATCGGTCGTGAGATTGTAAGTCTTATAATAAGAAGTTTAATAAATCTTTGATTTTATAATTATATTGAGGAAATGAATTCTGCTGTCTTGGCGATTAAACTAGGTATTGAACTACCTGAGTGGAGAGGACTATCTTTTTTCGAAATGTTAAATGAGACTGATAGAAAGGACTATATTGTAGGTTATTTCGTGATTAATTAAATATATCTTAATTAAGCATTACTTAAGATTAAACTGATTATATAGGCAGTCAGAAAAAAGTAATAGTTTTCAGGAAGGACGTTTGACAAAAGGTAGCTTTGTATTACCTGGACTTTCGAATAATTGTGATTCCAATGGAGCTACTACTAGTGTTGAAAAGGTAAGTAATTTCAAGAACTTATGTTTGGGTGAGAGTACTTGAATTAATGAGGTGAACTCATATTATATTAATTTTTAGTAATAAAAGTTTTGATATTCAAATATTTTGGTGATAATGTATAATTTTAGGTTGAACAACCTATGTCGAACCCTACAAGTGTTGAAAGGAAAATTGCTAGCGAATAGTTTGAAATGGTTCTTTGTCATGTCAGATAGTTAAATGCATGGAAATTTTCTGTTTATAAACATGTTA